GCAGTGGACCTGCTCTGGACCTCCCAAAGTCCACAACCAGTTCCTTAGTCTTTGAGGTGTTGAGTTGCAGGTGGTTTGTGTGACTCCATGCGACAAAGTTCCTCACCAGACTTCTGTACAACTCTTCCTGATTATCCCAGATACACCCCATATCTGCAACATATCAGATTCACTGTCATTTAAGATTCAAGCCACACCCCCTTTTTCACTTTATGTGCCTTTTCTGCAAAAATGAATGATAAATTTCTCCTACTGTGTCACTTAACACTTTTTTTTAAATTGAGTCACAAGGTTTTGGTCGAACTGACCTTCAATTGGTACAAAGCAGTGTTCATATAATCACTCACACACCAGGTAGAATTTCAGTCATCCAATTAGAGAATAATAATCAGATAATGAGACTAATAAAAACATCGGTTTAGTCATAAAACCTTCATAAGGCCTCTAAAACCAAGAATAGAAATATAAATTCATCCTTAATTACACCCACACACATTACAAGACGGTAACAGTCTACACACTACTCTACACACTACTTTATACTTTATAAAGTCTGTAATATTTGGCCTCGGTGTCCATGCTGGTCGCACACACAAGCAGAGATGGGTTAAAGCAGTGAGCAAAGAAAGAAAGAATTCACCGCGCCCGAGTTTTCCAGCTCTCTGTCACAATGGAAACTTCAAGCAACAATAGGACACGGTGTGAATGACACTCATGACACCCCGTTAGCTGTAAATTGCCAAGGCCTCCTCTGAATAAACCAGAACAAAATAAATCGAGATCTGTCGCCCAGATGTGCGAGGCTGAAAGCAAATATGTCAAGAATGAAAGAAGGAACCGAAGCAGTTGGACCCACAATGAAAGAGGAACTAATTAAATAAGGAGACGAAAATAAAACTGATGTGTGCAGAAAATTACCAAAGCAGAAAAAAATAATAAAGAGGGAACAAACAGAAAATAAGTAATGCGGTGGGTTTCTCAATGTTGGACAGATGTGACAAAGAAAACAGACATGCAGGAAGGATGAAAGAGAAGTTAGGACCATAAAGTAAATACATGCAGACTGATTGAAACATATTTGACTTAAAAGAATTTGCAAAACAAAGCACAGGCAGAAGCTAAGATGCCTCCCCCTCTGCGCTGAGCAGAAAGGTGGAGCACGACCCTTTTAGTTCGATTTCTTTAGACTGCAAAGGTTAAAATTGTGAACCCACAAAACACATCAATGCAACACTTCCTGTCAGCAGCTAAGCTCCCCCCGCATCTGCTTCCTCCTTGAACACAAACACACCTCTTCTCTTGTGACAGTAATATAATAAAAACACCTTTACACATCTCGTATTACACAGCTTTTTCCTTTTTTTGGTGTTCTCCAGTGTGTGTGTGTGTAGAAGTGTGGTTGTGTGAGACTCCTCTCGCTGTCGTTTTGGAAAGGAGAGTTTGACACAACACACGCTGTTCATTAGCGCCTCGCAGCCAACCCTGCACTGCTCTGTGTGTGTGTGTGTGTGCGCTGTCTCTTCATTAACACATCAACTCCTCCACTCTGAGGTGACACATTAAAACATTCTCGAATATTCTGCTCTGCATGTATTAGCATATATTTACATGCTAACGAGAAGAGAGGAGCTGGACTGAGGCACGTGTTTCACGTGAATACAAAGAACCGTGTATCTGATATATCTGATGTATCTGTGAGCTCAGTGTCCTCAGGAAAACGGGTTCATGAGAAAACCTACGCGGCTTTAAATTCTCAGCTGCTTCTTGTGATGATTTTAGTAAACAAAAAATATTGTGGGAACATGTGCATGTATTTTACAAGTTTGTAATAAAAGGAACGAAAAAGTGGAAGTGGAAAATTAAAAAAAAAACCTGTATGATAGAAGAGATAGTAAGGGGGAATGAAGGGGAAAGTGAACAAGGTCATAAAAGGAAGTGGAAAAACGCTGAAGTAAATTAACTGGTGAGAAACTGCTAACACAAGAAAGAAAAAGGAAGAAGGCAGTTTAAAACATCACACCATCTAAGATCACAGACTATAAATGGAAGACAAAACGTGAACGTGCCAGAAACCTGTACTCTTTCTAACGACCAGCAGGAGGCGACACCAACATTTGCACAAAATGAGATCCTATAGAACAGCCATTTGGAATTTAACAAACTTTAGTTGTGACTCTTGATGAAAACTTCATTCTCCATTAACAGCTTTAATTTTCTAATGACAAGCTCAGCAATAAAAACAGGTGAGAAGAGGAGTGATAATGGCACATAAGTATTTTCAAATCCCACTGCTGTGTTTCATTAGTTCAATTTCATTCTAAAAATTAAATATTTAAGTCAATTTTAAGCTGAAATACAGAAAGTATTGGGATTAGTTCCCATATCAGTATCCCAACTGATATGGGAACTAATCCCAATGGATTTGATCCTGTAGAAGACTGAAAGCATTTTATTCACCCTATAAAAGGCATCGTATCACAGAAGTGTATCCTACAGGATTCATCTGTAGGTCAGCAGCAAAGCTTCTAAAGGTGTAACTTCATTCATATAAATATATATAAATATAAATACAGTTTTTTGTGCAGCGTAGCCTACCTGGATTACGTGTAGGAAGGGAAAATGAAGCCAATGTGGAAGTGTGGCGATACCTGTGAA